AGAGCGATGGTCTTTATTGGTCAGTGTGCACTATAGACAAGATGCACAGAATGCTCACCATCATGGGGCAGGCAGTTTAGCTAGAAAACCCTTAAACTGAAAGCATTCACTCCTGTCTCGCACGAGTCTCAGGTTGCACAGACAATATGGTAATTATAAAACATATACACTGGCGTCCAGTTTTTCGAATGTTGTGACTAGAGTAAAATAATTGAATGTAGGATGAACAGAAATTTCAACTATGTTTGAACGGAAAAACTGACAAATGTGGGACATATTTCCATGATTAGACTTTTGGATGACCAGATGGTTATGGTGGTGGTGGTGGTGGTGGATGATCGTAGTAGAAGTGGTGATAGTATCTGCATTTTAAATGTTGACATTTTCAGGATTGCGGTAGTAGTCTTTTCAAAGTATTGATATTTTTTAATTGCTACGGCCAAAATTCGGTTGTAACAGCAAATGTTTTAGCGGCTTCTCTTCCACTCCCACACTCCCCCCATACCGCCATCACTGTGACACTGCTGCACACCCCGATAGGTGATTGGTGAACAGCACTGACAGGTGTCATCTTGTCAGCTAAATAAACAGCGATCTGTCGCCGCAATCGAGCGATCATTTTCATAATGATATGTTTGGGTAAAATGATACATCCGCTAATGTGTATCACAAATGACATTTTGGACAGTACATATCGTCTATTGAATGTTGCTGAAAGTGTGTCATGGATAGGACAGTGCAGCGGATGACGATAGGGGGTTAACAAAATGGGATAAACTCAGAGTCTATTGGTTCGCAGATGACAAAGTGGAGGTAGACTCGTGTTAGTATTTCTCACTTGAAAAAGTGTTAGGGATCGTCCTGAAAGTAAGAACAACATTCGTCATGACAACAAACATGTACATATATGTATATGGGTGTTTTTTCAGCACCTAAATCTCCATGAGTTACCGGAGTCAGTGATTATGAGAGACATTTCAAATATCAAGGAGGGTATTCGTCGTATATATACCAAATGAAGCGTGAACTGAAAAGCTAGGAAGCACACTGGGCAGCTGTTTCGACCTGGTTTGATCGTGCCCGGGACCTCACAGACAGAACGCAAGCATGCTACCCACTGGGCCAGTGGGCAGCTGATCAGACCGTTTTTGATTTTCATTTTACTTGATATGGTACAACCCATCTCTGTTAGCTTATTGCAAGCATCGCACCTCACTCATCTCAGCACCAGCCTCCGGATTTAGGACTCAAATCGATGCAAAAATCAACAAACCGGTTTAGAATCTCTTTTTTTTGTTACACACTCTTGTATGATGAATAACAGACGGGGTCATTGTTACTAGGATCTGAAGTTTACTCATGGAAAGCGGCATCCTAACTAATAGGACTTGGAGTGGCTAACTGCATAAGGCACAGGTAGACCACAAGATTCTCCACCATATAGTTTGTTGGCTTCCTAGGAGCTTTTCAATCAATCATAATATGGAATAAAATAGCTATGATGCCTTTCCTATGTCTCCAAAAAAAGTTCTTGGGGACGATGGCGCGGTAGCAACCAAGAGGGTCCTCCATCCAGAAATACTCATATACAACAATAATTATAGTGTGTTCAAATGTAGACGTTAATGACTGAAGTGGAAGCAAGAAAATTAACGGTGAATAATTTATTTATTGCAGTTCAACGTTAACAGTTTCTCTGCGCCTTGGAATGGTGGAGCTTTCGATATCGGATTGCTGTGTGAGTGTGTGCAAAACAAAATAATTCTGAACAATTGTTTGCTCGTAACGACTGCATCATTGCCTTCGCCATTATTTTCGTCTGTGACAAAAGCAAGGACAATATGTTTATCTAAGTTTTCAACTCACTGCGTGAGGGCCCTAAAGTCCATGGCACGCCCAGTTTTATCTCTCAAATTCATGCTACTGTTTATCGGGTTATAAAACCAAGGTGTATCACTGAATTGATATTCTTACTTGGATTGGTTCAGCTTCTGCTACGATTCGATTCTCTTTTCCATTGGCTGGAGTCGAAGTGTGATGTGAAAACTTGATANGGGTGTGTATTGGTGTGAATGGTTGACTAATTCAAATACGCGTGGTCACGGAGTCAACTTCGATATTGATCCGTGTCTGTCGGGGATCAGGCTGAGGTGTGAACTTCGCTCACAGCTGATTTACACGTGCTCGCACATGCGTGTGCGCCTAACCGGGTTCGTTCAATGCGTTCGCACTCCAGTCATGCGGAGCTGCGCGCACGGGACATTCTTTTGTTGTATCGATCGGTTCTAGGTTGAGCTGTGGCTACTATAGAGGTTCTGTGTGAACGTTTCTTACCTGCACTCAAAGAAAAGCACAAGGTATGCTTAGATGCTCTCTCGTCAGGGAAAGATTTGCTCAGGT